GCCACAAGAGTGGGGCGCACGCCAAGTAAGAGGGAGGATGGAGGTAACAACTCAGCCGACTTATAAGACAGCCACAGTGGGAAATGACCTCCACTGAATGCCACATGAAGCGGGCAAACCCCGAGCGAGGTCAGTCAGGAAAAAGAGATGATGATTAATCTCAGGGAAAGGAGAGTGGGTATCAGGGTGGGTCCCATACGCATTAAAGCAATGAAGGAGCGTGAACAGCTTTAAGAAAACTGACAACAGAGATAAAGAGAACAAAAAAATTTTTTTGAGTTGGGGTGTCACTCTATTGCCCAGGTTGGAGTGCAGGGGCACAATCATGGCTCACCACAGCCTCAACCTCCTATGCTCAGATGACCTCCCCACCTCAGACCTCTGAGTAGCTGGGACTACAGGCCTGTGCCACCATACTCGGCTAGTTTTTTTATTTTTTGTACAAAAGAGGTCTTGTCAAGTTGCCCAGGCTGGTCTCGAACTCCTGGGCTCAAAAAAAAGAAAATTTATTTTTGTCAGCTTCATCTCTGTTGTCTGTTTTCCCACTCAAAAAAAAAAATTACAAGCAATTTCCCTCATGAACACAGACACAAGAATACTAAAGTCATTTCAGCAACACTGGGGAAAATACAGCATAAGCAAGTGGAGGGTATCCAATAAACACCAAGGTCTTAACATTAAAAAAATCAAGCAAATTGATAAGCTGAACAAAAGAGAAAAACCATGTGATCATTTCAGTACATGCAGACCATGGATTTAGCAAAACTGTGTATCCATCCAAGACAAAAATTCTCAGAAGAACAGAATAAAATTTAGAATGAGCCGGGCTCGGTGGCTCAGTCTGTAAGCCCACGCCTTTGGGAGGCTGAGGTGAGTGGATTGCCTGAGCTCACGGGTTCGAGAACCGCCTGGGCAGGCGAGATCTCATCTCTACAATAAATCAAAAAATTAGCCGGACGTGGTAGCGCGCACTTGTAATTCCAGCTACTCGGAAGGCTGAGGCGGAAGGATCGCCGGAGCCCAGCAGGTCGATCGAGGCTGCGGTGGCTGGGAGCGGCCACTGGGCGACAGAGTGAGACTCCAACTCAAAAAAAAAAACCTTAGAATGTAGAGTGGTCCCTGAGCAGCCCCAGTTAACACTGTCCTGAGGCGGGTCCCTGGCTGCCTTTCTCCTCAGACCGAGAGCACCCCTGAGGCGCACTGCTCACTTCTAGCAAGGCTGCATCCAGCTGTGGCAACAAGACAAGATGAAGGAGAGGCACGAGGACCAAAGGAGAAAGTAAAACAGCCCATCTGCACATCACACAGCTGCTTTCATCATCTTCACGAGTCTGAAGCTACAGAAAGTAGTTTCTCAAAATAAAAGGTGAATATACCAAAAAAAAAAAAAAAACCAGTTTTTACATATTAGCAGGAAACAATTGGAAAGCATAATTTCAAAAAAGTCCACTCACAACAGCATCAACAAACACAAAATAAACGTAACAAAAAATATGTAAGAAGACCTCTTCACTGGGAACTATAAAACACTGCTGAAAGACATGAAAGAAAACCAAAATATGGAAAGAACACATGTCTAAAGACTAGAACACTAGGCCGGGTGCAGTGGCTCATGCCTATAATCCCAGCACTTTGGGAGGCCGAGGCGAGAGAACTGCCTAAGCTCAGGGGTTTGAGACCAGCCTGGGCAACTTGGTGAGACCTTATCTCTACTAAAAAAAAAAAAAAAGACTGGAACACTCAAAGATGTCAAATCTCCCCCAAAATTCATCTACAGATTTAAAGCAACCCTAATCATAATTCCCAGAACGTTTTGGGGGAGTCTTGTGGCCTTTTTTTTTTTTTAAAAGAAACTGACACACTGGCCACGTGAGGTGGTTCAAGTCTGTAATCATAGCACTTCGAGAGGCCGAGGCGAGAGGATTGCCTGAGCTAAGGGGTTCGAGATCAGCCTGGGCAACTTGGTGAGACCTCGTCTCTACCAAAAAAAAAAAAAAAAAAAGCCATGAGTGGTACTACACCCCTGTAGTTCCAAAAAAAAAAAAAAAAAGAAATTGACATGCTGATGCTAAAATTCATATGGAAATGCTAAGAACCTAAAATAGCCAAAACAATTTTGAAACAGATGAACGGTGTATGGCCTACCTTCAAGACCTTCTAGGAGGGCATGACGATGAAGACAGTGGGACATGCTAACGTCAGGATGGACAAATCGATGGAAATGAACTGAAAGCCATAAACAGACCTACATTTCCACAGTCATGAGACTCTCCAAAGGCCCTGAGGCAGCCAATGGAAAAGGCATCTCTTCACAGACAGTGCTGGAATAAATGAGTATCCATAGGCGATAACTTAATGCCTACCTCGTGCTACACATGAAAACTAGTTCAAGGTAGACTGCAGAATTACACATAAAAGATAAAACCATACTGTTTTTAGAGAAAAATATAAGCAAACCCTCATTACCGAAGGTAAACAAGGCTTTCTTAGTTCACAGAGGGCAGTATCCTAAGAGAAAAACAGAATAAATTAAACTTTATCAAAACTCAAAGCTTCTATCATCAATGAACACTTAAGACAATGAATGGGCATGCCACCGCCTAGAAGGATACTTGTAATACACAGACCTGAAAAGCACCAATCTCCAGAATATAAAGAACGCTTATGCCACAAAAAGTATAAGCCATTATAAACAGCAAGAAACATGGACATACACTTCAGAGAAGATGAACAAATGCCCGATAAGCTCATGAAAAGCACTCACCATCAGCAGTCATCAGAGAAATGGGAATTAAAACCAAGAGATAACACACATCTACCAGAATGGCTAGCATTAAAAAGACTGACATGTCAGGTATTGGCGAGCTCATGGAACAACCAGAGCTTGCAGGCATCTTTGGTGCAAATGTAACTAACTATCTTTGCTGCAACTGTTTTGAGAAGGGGTCTGTTCAGTTTTTATTCATGGACGCCTACACAATGCCCACCCTGGGACCCAGCAGCTTCACTCCTGGGTTTTTACTTACTATCCAAGAGAAATCAAAATGTGCAGCCACACAAAGACTTGCATTAAAAAGCTCACGGCTGCCCGGCTTAGTGGCTCAGCCTGTAATCCCGCACTTTGGGAGGCTGAAGTGAGTGGATTGCCTAAGCCCGCGGGTTCGAGACCCGCCTGGGCAACTTGGCAAGACCTCATCTCTACAATAAATCAAAAAAATCAGCCGGGCATGGTGGTGCATGCCTGTAGTTCTGGCTACTTGGAAGGCTGAGGCGGAAGGATCGCCGGATCCCAGTGGGTCAAGGTTGCGGTGGCCGGGAGTGGCCACTGCACTCCAGTCTGGGCGAGAGTGAGACTCCAACTCAAAAAAAAAAAAAAAAGAAAGAAAAGAAAAGGCTCACAGCTTTATTATTCATGGACAGTCAAAGGCTGGCAACACTTCAGGTGTCCATCAGCAAAAAAACCAGAAACACGATTATGACACAGTCATATAACAGCACTTGGCACTCAGCAGCAACAAGCTGAAAAGTGGTAAACCTGAAAACCACACTGCCTATAAGATGACTTCCACAAAAGAATATATGCTGTATGACTGCATCTATCCAACGTTTTAGAACAGGCAAATCTCACATGGTGGGAAAAGTTGGAACAGTCCTTGCCTCTGAGGATGGGGGGGCAGGGTGTGGACTTATCACAGCTAGACAGTACATGCTTGGAATGTATGTGCCTCACTCTAGGTAGACTTTACTTGAAAACTGTCATTGACTTCCACTTGGTTATATGCATGCTTGAGTATCTAGGAGGATGGTGCCTGCACTTACTTTGAAATACCTCAAAGACACAGGCAGCAGGACAGAGGCGGGGGTACAGATACATGAACAGATATGTGATAAAACACGTGTAGGGACTAGGTGGGGTGTAAGTGCTGTCAACTTCCCTCAAGTTGGCTCTATGCTTGAGAATTTTCAAAATGAAAGATTAAGGAAAATCCTACAAAGAGATGGCATCTCATTCCTCTCGAGTCACATAGATGGAAGGCTGGCGACGGGGAAAGGAGGAGCGGGCAACAGGGACATGAACTGACCGTAGACGAAGCTGTGCCTCTGCAGAGCCAGCAAGACACAAGAAATGGGCAACAGGGACACAGTGTGGACAGAGCCCACGTCCAGGCAGAGCAAGGGAGACATGAGGAGTGTGTGACAGGGGCATGTGTGTAGACGGAGCCCATGTCTCCACAGGGCCAGCAAGACTCAAGGAGTGAGCAACAGGGACATGCATGTGGACAGAGCTGACACCTGTGCCTCTACAGTGCTGGTAAGAGGTGTGGCACACGTGCACAAGAACATGCCTACAGCACCCCTAGAGGTCAGCAGGAAGGAGAAGCAAGCCCTGGTGCGCTCCACCACAGAGAACCATCTGGCAGGGAGTATCCTGGCTCAGGAGGAAAGCCCCTCAAAATGCAGAACTGTTCCTACTGCAGGGTTGTGGGATGTGGATGAGAACACAAGTGGCCTTTAAAAATCTTCATAGTGGCCGGACTTGATGGCTCAACCTGTAAGCCCAGCACTTTGGGAGGTTTGAGGTGAGTGGAATGCCTGAGCCCACAGGTTCGAGACCAGCTTGGGGCAACTTGGCAATATCTTGTCTCTACAATAAATCAAAAATTATCCGGGTGTGGGAGCACGCGTCTGTAGTTCTGGCTACCTGGAAGGCTGAGGCAAAAGGATCATTGAAGCCCAGCAGGCCAACACTGGGGTGGCCATGAGTGTGCCACTGCACCCCAGCCTGGGCAACAGAGTGAGACTTCAACTCAAAAACAAAAACAAAAAAAGTAAAAATCTTCATATGACCACAGAGCAGCAGGATACCACTATCCCTACTCCTAATTCTGTACAAAGACTATTCATGTTAAAGCAGTGTAAAATCGTATCTGGAAGCTTCAATCACTGATGAGGCTGAAGACAATGGACAGGGGAGACCATCTTCCCAGCCCGCTTCTCACCTGCTTCGAGTAGCCCCCATAGATGATGATGCCCTGCGGAGTGACGGACATCTGGCAGCCTGATCTGGGTGTGGGACCCATCCCCGACGGGGACAGCTTGCTCCACGTGAACGTGTCCAGGTTAAAGGTATACACGTCGTTGTAATAGATGTAATCCCTGGTTCGAACAAAGCAACACAGATTGTCATGGTCAGTAACAGGAAAAGGCAGTGGTGTTAAAAAGTGAAACTGATTTAAACCAGAGGTAAATTTCCTACTATGGAAGAAACAGTGTTTTTCCTCTGTTCTCACACCAACACAATGACAATCAACACAGAAGACGTCTGTGACCAAACATGAGGGAGTTTTCCCCACCAACAAACAGCAACACCAGCTGGCCACCCCCAACTCCTTCCTGACACCATCTACCAGGAGAGAGCATGCCATTCCCACTAAGTCACCTGCTTAACTGAAGTCTAAGTTCACATAAGAAAACCACAAGCACATGTGAGATTGCATTTGAAATCCAGAATAACACTAGCCCACAGAAGCCCAGCAACATAATCTGGAAGTTATACCTTACATGGCTAACAAAATCAGTCTCGTAGATAATCACACTAGGTTGCTATGCGTGCAACTTTAAGACTAACAGTGAACTACAGATCTAACTGAATAATGTTTGAAACATTCACAGCTTGGCAGAACCACTGCGATCCCCAGACTGGCCTGGAGGGGTGGGAGAGGGTGAGGTGGTCTCGAAGCCAAAAGCCCAGAAGCAGACTTCTGCGTCTACAAGCACAGCAGGCAAGGAGGGGCCTCAGGTGCTCTTGGGACTCAGACCAGACAGGCCTGGAAAAGGGAAGGGACACCACATGCAGGAAGACTCCCAGGGCACTAAGAACACCATGTCCTGATGTGGGATTTTACAGAGTAACGGTGGACAAGCAGACACTGCTCTCTAGCTGTGCAGGAAGGAGAGCTAACACTGACTTCTAAGAGAAGCAGCCATGGAAGAGTGAGAACTGCTAGCCCAAGTCTGGGGTGGCCACTTTTCTCTGCCATGCCACATGGTATGTGGACAGAAGTCACCACCCGTGCCCTCTGCCACATCTTAAAAAATAACCCTCTGAACCTGCTAATACCACTCAGACCTCAGACTCACGGTGCCCTGCGGCAGGAGGACATCTCCTAATAAGTAAACTGAGGATGCAGAGTTCTTCAACCAAGGAACAAGACTGCAGGTGCCTGCTTTCTCTGTCTCACAAGGCAGTTCTTCAGTATAGAAATTCATGCAAGACAAGCAGCAGTTGCTCCCAGGAAATGCAGGGCGCCAGTGTCCAAGTGCCTGACTGACCTGCACTACACGGACGACAACCACACAATGCCCATCCGTCCCCGTGTCTTCCCTCTTTTTGTATGTGTGAAACACTTCATATAAATAATTTTAAACAGGGTAACAGATTAACAATAGCTTTGAAAAACATTCTGATTTTTAAATGGTTGCAAGTTAAAAGTGCTGTGAAAACTTGATTTAATTTGTCACCCATAAGGTCGAGGGAGGAAGGACCATACACATGAATCCACGTGACAACCTCTCGTATGTGCACTGTCTAAGCTGGCCCAAGCCCTCTTCTCCAAAAGGGCAGCAAGCAACTGAGCCCACGGCATGGGGGACAGGTTAGGGGAAGCAAGCCGGTCAGGGCTCAAGCCAAAAAGCAGTGGCCCGGGCCTAAGGCAAGCACCTTCCACAGATGAGCGGCCTTGGCTTCCCATCTCTGAGATGGCAGCCTGCCCACTGACAGCTATGGCTACATACCTACTGTGTGTGAACACACCTGGCACACCGCACAAGACACAGTGTTACAGTACTGGCACATCCAAGGAACATCTTTAGGGACACAAATCACTCGTTGCTATGGTCTGAATCTGTCCCCACCCAAGCGCATGTTGAAATCTGAACTCAGCCACTGTTTTTGTTCAGCCCTGGCCAGGCCATGTGTTCATCGAGCTATGACCAGGCCATGTTTGCCAGCCCCTCTCCTACCTTGGGGAGGTGAATCTCCCCTCTCTCTCTAACTTTCAAATAAACTATATTTTCCAATCTAAACAAAAGAAGAAAGTTGAATCCCAGTGTGGGGGTGTGAGCGGCAGGCCCTGGGGAGGTGTCTGGGTCACAGGAGTGGATCCCTCGAGAACAGCTGGTGCTGCTCTCCCAGCATGAGTGAGGAGTTCTTGCAGGAAGGAATTCCTTCCAAAGAGAGTGGGCTGCTATGAAGCCAGAATGTCTCTAGAGTTCCCTCTTCCCCTGTGACGGGATGAGGCACAAAAGTCCTTGCCAGGAGCCAGGACCGTAGCCTGGAACTCTTCTTTATGAACTAAAGAGTTATGGGCATTCTGTTATAGTAACACAAAATGGACTAAGGCACTGATTTAATTTGAATGATATTCTTAAAATTTTCCTTCTTGAAAAGCATTTAAAGCCAGGCACAGTGGCTCACACCTGCCATTCCAGCACTTGGGGAGGCAGTGACAAGAGGACTGCCTGAGCCCACAGGTTCAAGACCAGCCTGGGCAACTTTGTCTCTACAATAAACAAAAAAAATTAGCTGGGTGTGGTGGTGCACGCCTGTGATCCCAGCTACTTGGAAGGCTGAGGCAGGAGGATCACCTGGGCTCAGCACAGACTGCAATGGCCATGAGCATGCCACTGCACTCCAGCCTGGATGACAGAGTGAGACTCCAACTTAAAAAAAAAAAAAAAAAAGAAAGCATTTAAAAATTTAGATTCCCCCTTCCCCAATTAACAAAATTAGTGAAAACATTTTGTATTTATTTATAAAGAAAACCTAAAATCTTAACTAGCCAAACCCATACCAGTGTCCCAGCCTACACAGGGGACTGTGGAAAAACGTCAACGCCTACCCCAAACTCATCCAGTGCTGCCTTCCTCACACAGGTGTCTGGGGATATATCTTCACGAACCAAAAAGTATCAGGAAAAGCCAAACACCCCGCGGGTCTCCCTCTATCCCTGTGACCGTCTCCACCATGTTGAATTGTTATTAAACCAAGAACTATCAGGAAAAGTCTGTGCAGGTGGATTGACAAAAATGTGAGTGGCACTGTCAACAAATAAACTCATCACTGTGTCACTTTTAAGGATCAAGAGAGGAAGAGGAGCTTGGTCAGGGAGGCCCACTGGGGAAGGGCAGGGGCTTCTCCAGCTGCCTACAACCAGGAGAGAGGAAAGCACTTCAGAGATGGCCCTCACGGTCACGATGGCCCAAGACGCTTCCCAGAATGTGTCACTATGCTAGACCACGACAGCAAGAACCCACTCGCCTATATCTTGCTTTTCTGGACCAAACCAGAGATGTTCAAAGTGTTGGGTGTAGAGATGACAGGCTTGAGCTCGTCAGAGAACCTGCCCTGTGCCCTGGAACCCAGTCAGTGGACAAGCAAAAGGAGAAGCAGAGACCAGAGCCCTCACAGCCCCACTGCAGGGGGCACACAGTGGCGTCCCCATGGCTACTTTAAATCACTGCAGACCAGTGATTCTCAAGAGAAGGTCCCTTGGCCGGCAGCATCAGCATCACTGGGCAGCGTGTTAGAAACGCAGGTTCTCAGGCCTACCCCAGGCTTACTGAGGCTGAGCGGGCAACTGGAGTTGTACCCAACCTTCCAGGGCATTCTGAGCCAGGCTATGGCTGGAGAATTCAGGGTCTGGCATAAAAGTAAGATGGGGGCTGTTCCTTGCTCAACAGTGAGTAAGCATGTCAACCCAGTCAAAGTACAACCTCAAACCCATGCAGGGTCTGGTGTGGCTGCCTGAGTTGGATGCCTTGAGGTTGCATGTTGAGAGGACTGGTGCATTTTTCTCATATATTCAGAATAGCCTTCCCATAAAAAGGCTACTCCTTAAATGCTTCAGAAAAGGATTTTTCTGCTTTTGGTACCAACCGTGCACTCTCATGGAAGCCACCAAAGAGGATCAGCTGTCTCTTCCAGGCCACCATCCGATGTCCACTCCGACCCGAAGGACCCCCTGTTGATCTAAAAGGAAAAAAAAAAAAAAAACAAGATATAAATAGGCTTCACTCTGGGGGGCAAGGCCCAGGGGTTTGGACCAGCCTGGGCAATTTGGCGAGACCCTGTCTCTGCAATAAATCATAAAGTTAGCTGGGTGTGATGGCATGCATCTGTAGTTCCAGCCACTTAGAAGACTGAAGTGGAAGGATTGCCTGAGCCCTGGAGGTCGACTCTGCAGTAGCTATGAGTGTACCACTGCACTCCAGTCTGGGCAACAGAATGAGACTTCAACTCAAAAAAAAAAAAAAGGATATAAACATGCTTAAGGTCTGTGGGAAAAAAACATTTTTTACACTGATTTCTTTTTTGTAAGCACTTACGGAGAACCATTTAATTCAATCCACAGGATGCCAAAACCATCCTGTTAAACTCTAGCTAGCTACTCACAACTTCAAGAATAAGACAAGAGACAATTTCCACGATCTTGGAGTAGAAAAAGACTTCTGGACTCCGGCAAAATAAAAAAAACTTCAAAACATGCCATTAAAAAAGAGGCATGCAACAGATTGGAAGAAATATTTTCAACTGACAAATGACTTGCATTCAGAATATATAAAAAATTCTATCTTAATAGTAAGATAAATGACCCAATGAAAATAAGGGGTAAAAATTTGACAGAAAGATCACAAGATATAAAAATGGGGGGGGAAAAGTAAATGGTTATAAAAACATGAAAAGAGCCAGGCTCGGTGGCTCAGCCTGTAATCCCGCGCCTTTGGGAGTCTGAGGTGAGTGGATTGTCTGAGCC